AAAATAAAACTCCCTCAAAAAAAAAAAAAAAAAAAAAAAAAAAAAAGAAGAGTGCACTGTCCTGGAATCCACTTGCAGAATTGGTTTCCGTTAGGGCAGGGCACCCACCAAGAGGTCAATATCAGAGCCAATATGTGACCAGGATGGTGACACCAAGAGGGTCATCAGTAGCCTTGGCAACCAGCTGTTTGGGGGAGAACAACAAGGCCAGGTCACCATAGACTGGGGCAAGCAGGAGGGAATGAGCGCATAGATGGCTCTTGAGGCACTTGATGGGGGAGCGAGGGCAGGGATATGGCTTTTAAGGTGAGTTTTCTTTTGGTGGTTGAAAATAGGGTAGAAGGCAAGTGGTCAGAACAACCACTGCTATAGAAATCTGAGCAAGGATGGAAGCTCGGGGACGCAGCTCATGCCAGCACAGGGTGATGGGGTGGGGTAGGGAGCAGTTTTACAGAGTCAGGACCCTTCTCCATGGAACAGGAGGTAAGGAAGGCAGACAGCCAGGATGCAGATGTACTGGTGGCCTCAGAGGCAGGAAGTCAGGGGACTTCTGGGGTAGGGCTGGAGTCCCTCTGGAGTAGGGAGTTCTGGCAGGTTCCTCCAGACCTGCAGAGGAGACCCAGACTAAGCAGCCCTGGTATTTGAACCCAGTTTCTTCTTTTACCTACCCAGGAGCTCAGGTCTCCCTCTCAGGCCTGGCAGATGGCAACAGTTGTCCCTCCACTTTCCTGTCCCAGTGGAAGGGGAAGTCAGCCTTAATAGGCCACGGGGTCCGCCCAGAATTCACTGGCAGCATCTAAGGCAGGCTTTCCCAATGTCTCGTCCCACCTACAGGTGCCCTTCGCATTGTGGCCCTCATGGTCAGTGTGGGTCTCACCTGGATAGTAGTCAGCATCCTCCTGCGGGGGCCTGGCAGTGGCTTTTCTCGTATCCACCGACTCTTCACCAGTGAGTGTGGGACCCTGCCCTGCGTAGCCCTGGAGATAGCCTGGGCTCGGTATGAGCTCAGGGTGGGGTGGGCAGTTTGGGTTTTCTCTCCCTTCCTGGTGGGCTTCTCCTGGCTGCTCCTTGTCTGTCTCCTGGCATCTACCACTGCCTCCTCTCTCCACCCACGTGCTCTGGCTGGGAAAGCCAGTCCCAGCCCCTAGCATGGTGATGATTCTGTGCTAGTGGGAACCGGGAGGGCCAAAGGGAGGGCAAGGAGGCTTCTGCTGACACCAGGGATGCCACCAGGCTGCTGTGCTCACTGCTGGCTTTTGCTGGGCTCTGGGGCATCTCATTACTGGTGATAGGGCCCCTCAGTACCTTTTAGAGTTCCAGTTCATTCTTGTCCTATAGTGGGGAGTTTTACATCTGAACATCACTTAGGCTTGAGCAGGGATTATACTAAGGTCAGCCTGGCTTAGCCTATGGCCCTGGACATTATGGTGCTTTGCCAGGATATCCTGCCACAGGCCCCACAAGGCCTGCATGCTAACAGAAACAACTCTTTACCCACAGGCCCAGAGAGCTCAGTGACTGCAGGTAAGGCTCCTGTCACCTCCCTGCTCCTCTGCTGTGCCAGCCCTTAGAGTGCATTTGTGACCCCAGCGTGCTTTCAGCCCTCCAGGGTTTCCATTCTCCATTCCCCTCCCCGAGGGAGCTGGCATGACACACTAGTACTGCTTGTGACTCTGAACCTCAAAAACCAGTCACCTGGTGCCAGAATATGGTGGTCGGGCAGGTAAAGGATGACCGCCCCCCCTCAGAGGGAGAAATTAGAAGGAACGCAGGTCCCAAGGATACCCAAAACCCAGCAAGACAGATTCCATTCAGTTTCAGAGGCCTGAGGACAATCTTCTGTGGCCTAATACTCTGTTCTCTGCTGCGGTAAGCTCATCCTTGGGGCCTGTGCCTTCTCTGGCCTCTGTATCCATGGCTCTGCCCTCAGTCACCCTTTCTTCTTTTTATCCTATCTCAGTTTCTTTTAGTCCAGGTTGGCAGCGTTTCTGCTGGTATAAAATTCTTGAAAACCAGGGCCAGCAGGTGGCATAGTGATTAACTCCCGCATATGACCACGGTTTCAGTCCTGGACCTGGCGGCTTGAAACTTATACCAGGTGCGTGTGCGTGCGTGCCCAAGGTCCTGAGAGGAGAATGGAGGAGAAGGGATTGCGGCGCAGCCATTCCCCCGGGGGGGTGATTTCTCACTTTCTGTCTCTCTGGCGAGTGCATGCACCCTATAGCAAAAATCTCTCCCAAAAATAAACAAACAAACAAACAGACAGAGTCCTTCACAGATCCTTCCTGATGAGTCCCATCGCTATTGCAGCTTCTGTTAAGAGTAGAA